TAACAGGAGATCAGGATCTATGTGGGGACCTATATCAGCCCAGTCGCATTTCAATAGTTAGGAACCCACTCTCAAGCCAAGCCTACCTATAATCAAACTAGGTCAAACCTTTTCGTGTGCTTGCTAGCTTATTTCTAACCGGTTAATCTTATATTTCAGTCTGGACCCGCTTTTAGTCCGACTTGAAGATTCTGGGTCCAAGTTCAGGCTTGTACCCAACCTAGCCCAGGTCCGAACTTGGTTTGCACCCAGGTCCGAACTTAGGCCCCCTCTTGGTCTGAGCCGAATGCTCACTCCTAGCTCATCTTTAATCCAGTCTGGGTCCACGCCTGCTCTGATAATTAAAACTCTCTAGGTCCAAGTCCGACCTTGTACCTAGCCTAGCCCAGGTCCGAACCAGGTTTACACCCAGGTCCGAACCTAGGCCCCCTCTTAGTCCTAGCTGAAGGCTTGTTCCTAGTTCAATCTTGATCCAGTCTGGGTCCACATCTGGTCTGAGTATCAAAACCCTCTAGGTCCAAGCCCAGGCTTTCACCCAGCTCAGTCCAGGTCTGAACCAGGCTCACACCCTAGTCCGAACCTAGACCCACCCTTGGTTCGAGCCGAGACTCGTGCACCATCTAGTCTAGATCTTAGTCTAGGTTCTAGCATAGGTCTAAGCATAGAGTTGCCTTTAGAGCTAGACTAGGCTTACCCTATTTTAGGGTCCGAACCAGAACCCATTGAGTCTAGCAAGTCTAGGTTCTAATCTAATCTTTGCCTAGGTCTTAGTCAGGGTTTTGCCTCTAGAGTTAGGATAAGTCTGCCTTAAGTCATCAACTCTAGTTCTTACCTAAGTCTAGATTCTAGAACCCAGTCAAAGAGAGTCACCATGTCGGTTACTCAAGGTGACCAGATGATTGCTCCACAGCTAACTCTAAACTGAACCTTCTCAAACCTAGGGACTAATGTGCTGCAATCCCTTGGAACAATCAACAGACCTCAGGCCAATCCATTATCCAACGCCCAGGTCTTCAGGTAGAGACAAAGTCCCAAGCATTCACTACAAATCCTGAAATTGGTGTGATTCAAAGGGTTGTTTAGCCTGAAAGACTCTGAATAGTCAAGAAGTCCGACCTGGAGTTGTCCTACTGGGGACTTTAGGAAACCAAAGTGGAAGTCGAGTGAGGGAAGAAATCCATGTAGCATCCAACATCAATTCCCATAACTTGAACCCAGATAACCACGAGATCCAGCGAACTCAAGACCAAGACCCACTTAGGTCTAGGGGATCCAACCCTACCTCGAGTTATCGTAGAACAACTCATGATGTCCTGAACACTGTATGAGACAAAGGTGTCGACCCAAACCAACCCCTAGGCGAGATAGGTGTCCAGCTGCTCTCAAAAGTCTGGTTGACCTAGGATACACTGTTCATGCCCCAGCTTACGGGTTAATGCCAAACCAACTTAGTGGTATAAGTCAACCCTTAGCACAACTGAGTCAGCTGATTCTTCAATTGGTCCCTCTAGTTCATCCAGTCCAACAAACCTGGAAATTTTCACAACCGTGGCGACACTCATGGGTCAATACGCCCCTCAAGCACAAGTGTATCAAACCGCCCCAGTGACTGCGACTCATCAATCTCAGGCCCATGCAGGCCAACGTATACCCCAATCCACGCTTGGGAACCCACTGACTAGTGGGCCTACTGTCATGCCGAACACCCAACAAGAAGGCACTTTAAAAGCGATGCATGATATGCTTGTAAGAATGGGAATGCATGATATTCTACCCCCAAAGACCTATGTTCAAGAGACCCTTGGAGGCTTGGAGGACCTTCCCCTGGGATTTGGTATCCCAGAATTTAGAAACAAGTTTAACGGGAAGAGCGATCCAGATGCTCACGTCAACACGTAACTCCTCTCCGTGAGAGCTTTGCGAGAAAGGCCTAACCAACTGAAGGCCATATTTTCGCAAACATTAACTGGAGAGGCCTTGAACTGACATCGGAGAACAATGTCGTCTCAACCACACATCATTCTAGATGAAATGCTTAACCTATTCGTCTCTTACTACCGTAGGTCAACACCAACATCTCTCTCCCTGGGCGAGCTCAGTGCAACGAAGCAAAATCCAAGAGTATCCTTCGAGGATTTCATCCGTCGATTCCGTGAGGAGGCAATTTGGGTTATAGAATGCCCATTGACAGACCCAGCCAAAATCTCCATGGCCTTAGAGAACGTTGCTCCTGAATACATGACCTTTTTCAGCCAAGGCCTTATCCCCCACTCTTTGAACTCCATGATCGAGCGGGTGGCACGACATGAAAGGGTGAGAGGGACACCCCTCAGCACTAGGCTCGACAATAAACTAATAACGACTCCTCAAAATAAGAGCAAAAACAATAACAAGGGAAAGACTCCCGGTCAGGTTAATGAGATTGTTGTTAATGGACCGGCTCAAGGTTTAGCCACTAAGCACAATAATCAGAACGAAAACCGAAGGGTCCTCCTAGAGCCAACACTTAAAATAATAACAAAAAACGAGAGGATGATTTCACTCCTCTCAAAGACCTGTTGGAAAAAGTTCTAAAATTACTCCTGACAATAAAAATGGTTTAACTACTGCCACCATCTGAACCACCATTTCAAGTCATGAACAAGAGCAGGTGGTGCAAATGGCATCAAAACCATGCACATGATACCCAAAACTGCATATACTTGAATGGGTAATTCAAGGGTTAATCAATAGGGGGGACATCACTGTCGCGCCTAGAAATCAACCCATTGAAGAGTCTAATCAAAAGATGGGTATCTTCACAAACCCTCTCCCTAAAAATATGGTCACAACAACCGAAAAGCTGGGAGCTCAAGACAACTCAAAAGAAAATGTTGTCATTCACATGGTTGAGAGTGGAGACGAAGAAGAAGATCCCTGTCAATTCATATTGGCTTGCGATCATCACTTTCAAGAACTTGAAGAAGATCTATTAGATCTTCTAAGAGGAATTTCTTCATCTCCAAACCTTGACAACCTTCTCAAGTGGGACCAATATGACGCAGATGACACACTAGAGATCGATATGGTCTAAACCCATGAAAAAGCGTCATCTCCTAAACAAGGGGCCAACACCCCGAAATCTCCCATTACTCTTGCTAGGGTTGATCCTATCGAGCTTCAAGCTAGCAAGGTTGATTCCCTAACTCGAAGAGGCTGAGTGTTCAAACCCTTTCAATTAATGACCGATACTCTCGATGAAAGGATGGGAAACTCCTCAAGAGCCAGACAACCAATAGGGGCTGTAGATCACGAGCTGAAGATGGAAATTCAAGGATCTACAACCACCTACGATCTACCGACTCATCTCGGGAAGATTCAGGCTCAAATCTCCATCTTAGAGCTACTCGCCAACTCACCAGCACACAAGGCCGAGATCGAAAATGTCCTCGCCAAGACACACATCCCGAGCAACACACAACCAGATGAGTTGTGCGGTATGATCAACCAACTAATGACACCAATGCCAATTGTGTTCACTAACGATGACATCCCGGCTAGCTTCAACTGCTTTCATGTCCAACCTCTATACATCACTGCTTTCATGCAAGGCTATGAAATACGGAGAGTGCTTGTTGATAATGGGGCATCCCTAAACCGATGCCCTATGAAATCGGTGAAGCAGATAGGTAAAAGCCCAGATGACTTCGAATCGTGTCAACTAACTGTCATTGCGTACGACGGACTAAGAGACAAGCTAAAGGCATACTGCCTCTCACACTTAAGA